ATTTCAAACTTTGCACAAAACTTATAAAAGTTCAGCAGGGTTTCCCAACAACAAACTTTGAATTCAGAATTTTTGAGAGGATTACAAGTTTTCAATTTCATGAAATTTTTTCCATATAAAGTGTGTTCGAAAATTTTTTAGTGGATGAAAATGTATGACACCGTCAGAAAAAAATATCAAAAATCATCGAGATATTGCAGAAACTTGCACTTTTATTTAATGGACTACAAAATTGCAAACTTAGAATCTTTCTGAAAATTCTGAATTAAAAGCTTGTTGTTGCGAAAACTTACTTTTCGTACTGCGTATTCACAATAGAATTCAGCGGTTTATAAATATTTCTCAAGGCCCTTATTTTAATTTTTAGTGCTTTTAATAATCACTTTTTGTATTTTTTTTATCTTTAATGTGGTATGTAAGTTTTTGTTATATAGTGGCCTCTTATTTTAAATTTCTGTATTTAATGATTGTGCCAAAATAGGATGAATTGTGCGAAAAGTTCCAAAAATGGCACTATTGTGCTTACTTTTCCATCACTGATACATACTAGCGTGAGCCGAAAATCCGCGTTTTTAGAAATTTGATTGGTAATAGCAAAAATATGGTTCCTTATGCTCTAAAAACAATCTGTGAGAAATATGACAATTTTTATACCCGAGCGCACTTGTGCACAAGGGTATAATAACTTTGTTCACATAACGGTTGTTTGTAACAGGCAAAACGAATCGAGATAGATATAGACAAATGTATACATAAATGATCAGAAGGAAAAGAGAAATCGATTAAGTGGTGGCTGTCTGTCCATTCGTCCGTCCGTCCATCTGTGCACACGATAACTCGAGTAAAATTTGAGATATCTTAACGAAACTCGGTATGTGTACTTCTTTTGGGCGTAAGACGGATGGTATTGAAAATGGGCAAAATCACTATACAACGGTAGTTTTCAGAAATACGAAAACTGCGATATTTTAGTAACTACTGAAGGTTATTCACTCAAAATTGATATTTACAATAATTTTCAGACGAAAAATAAGAATGTTATACATTTTTGGAAAATGGGCGTGGCTACATATATATGTCTTGGTAACCTCTCAACCAATTTCTCCCAACCTTGGCACAGCTATTGACCTTGGTACAGTATACCAAATGGCTGAAAATTTTTAAAATTGGACAATAACCACGCCCACATCCCATATAACGGTAATTTAGAGAAATACGAAATCTTCGTTAAATTAGTAAATACTAAAGCTAATTTATTAAAAATTGATGCTTGCAACAATTCTTTGCCAAGAAATACGTTTATGATACAATTTTGGAAAATGGGCGTGGCACCGCCTACTTATTATCACTTATATGTTTCTCGGTAACCGTTCTACTAATTTGTACCAAACTCGGTGTGGTTATTGTGCTTGCCACATAAAAGCAAAACGTTGAAAATTATAGAAATCGGGCTAAAATTTCGGCCCTTTTCATAAAACGGTAAATTTCAGAATTGCTTGAAACTTCGATATTTCAAAATTTAGGGACGCTAATTTACTCAAAATTGATACTAAAAACAATCCCTTGAAAAGGAGTAACATTATTTGGAATTTTGGAAAATGGGCGTGATACCGCCCACATATGACTATTTACATAAGTTTATCTCATTAGGTCTAACTGATAGTTCTTTCGAAAAAGTTTAAAATAGGGGTAAAACCACCCCGGCTAACCACGTAGCGGTAGTTTTCGGAAAGGTGAAAAACATATATTTAATACTTGCGCCGGGTATTTAATGTTCGGCTCCGCCCGAATTTAAACACTCTTACTTGTTTATTTTGTGCTTTGTCTACTTCAGTAATACTATTTTAGTATGTTATGCACGATATATGTATGTTGAAAAAATATTCGCCCCCTCTAGAGTTGCTACTGGGCCCGCCCCTGTAGAATGCAAATACACATGACCCAAAACGTGGACTGTTCCATTACATTTTGGCTCGCATTGTTTTACAAATACTGCTGAAACTTGCTAGAATAAAGCTGCATGTTAGTTTTCTTTCTTGCGGATGAAAGTATGGGTATGTGGCAACATTTAATATAAGGTGTGCGACAAAATGATAAGGTCACCTCAATAATTGCGTAATGTAGGGAATCGGGAATTCGTTGCCTATGATAGCCTTATACAATTTCTACATCCAAATGAGAGAGAACGAGTCGGTTTGGCATCGCGAAAAAATGATAAAGTCACTAATTTAGATAACAAAAATTTTATTCCAATTGCCACAGTTCAAAATTATTTCCAATTTATGCCTAAAGTTATGTTTTTTATTGTTCCTTGTGTCAGAGTTGATGGTAAAACACTAAATTTTGAGTGCACTAGACATGTCACTAGCAGTAAATATATTGGAAGAAATTTTATTTTTCATTATTTATCACCAGGGGGCCAATTCATGTTCTGTGAAAACTTGAAGTGAAAACATTTTTATTCACTTCACATAAAATCACGATTCTGTTTTCAAATGAAAATAAATTAATCTGTCAAAAAGTTTTCGCTTTGAAAACTTTTTCACAAAGTTTTGTGGCTGTGAAAAAGGAAATTTGGGAATTTTTCTCAAATCCATCATCTCGTGATAAATGATATCATTGTCTTAGACTCACAATAATTTATCAAATAATTACTTGTTTGACGTTAATGGAAAAGCCTTTCAATTATAAAAAAAAAAATTATAACTATATAATGAAACGATAAAGTGAACAAATTTAATTTTCCCCGATAATGCATTTTTAATTTTTGACGTTATATGTGAGGTAGGCTTTGTCAATGCCTGATTTTAGCCATTTACTATGGTCGGCCGCTGTGGTGTAGTAGTATGCAGTGCGCGCGTCCACTCCGCAGGGCCTGGATCCAAGCCCTGGTCAAAGCAACATCGCAAAAAAATTAAAAAAAAAAACTTCTCATAAAAATACAATCGCCCCGGCGCACTCTTCGGAGTCGGCGTAAAACTGTAGGCCTCCCCTTTGTGCGACAACATCAAGGCCACAAATCAGAGGTGAAGCTCGGCCAAACACTAACATGTGTAAGCGCCAATCTATTATTGTTGTTATTATTATTGTCAAACAAAAATCTAAATTTTATTATGGATCCCGTTAGAATACCTATCCTTTTTAAGGCGTGGACTAAAGCTATCAAAACGCAGGCTTTATTATGGACTTGGGCAGAATATCCCTTCTTTAACAACATTAGTTCCGCATTTTTTTTTTTAAACCTTAGAATATTCTAAACGTGGTCGTGGAACTTTAGGAAACAATGCGAAAAACTGTAGGTTTTATTGTGGATTTTGGCAGAATATCTATTTACTAACAACCTTTTTTCCGAAATTGTTTTTTTTTTTGTAAGAGAAGAGAGTCCTTTTTTGAAGTTATTGAAAATGCGTATTCAAAATATATTTTTTACGAGTTACAGAATGTTACTAGACCTTCCAAAACACCAATAAAAATACCTTATTTAAGCAATGTTTGATTTGAGCTTACCCAATAAATATTGGGCTTCGTTAACAATTCGAAAATGATTGGAAAATTAAAATTTTTTCAAGTCTCACCGTCGATAACGAATGTGGAATAGCTTAGCATTCGATTCGAGAACTAGGCCATTCTCCAGCAAAACGGAACCTTCGTTATACAATGTTTTTTTCCTTCGTTATGAACTCAAAATCCAGCGCATTATCGAATTGAAATTTTAATGAGAGAGAGTGATTGTCTTATATTTCCCTTGGAAAATGAGCTGGATTTCACTTCCTCTCTTGTTACTACGGTTTTCATTTTTCTCCGAACCCATCTCGAATGTATTTCCAATACACTATGAACGTTGGAAACCTAAGGTTGGTTATGAATTCGTTCTCAGTTTGATATTCATATTGGATATTGAAGTTTTAAGGACCATGCAGTTTTTTAAAGATAATTTCCTGTATAATTTGATACACAAAAGATTAAAAAAAAAAGATTTCTTAATTTATTGGGCAAACGGTTTGGAAATTC